CCCCCACGCCCCGCCACGCACCCCTCTTCACGACCACAATGTGGAAACTGATGCTCGGCCAATCCATCTACAAACTCGCCCTCTGCTTCACGCTGTACTTCGCCGGCGACCGGATCTTCGGCCTGGACGCGCACAGCAACAACGACGACCGCGTCCTCCTCGACACGATCATCTTCAACACCTTCGTGTGGATGCAGATCTTCAACGAGTTCAACTGCCGCCGGCTGGACAACCGGCTCAACATCTTCCAGGGGATCCTCAAGAATGCGTGGTTCATGGTCATCAACGTGCTGATGGTGGGCGGGCAGATCCTGATCATCTTTGTCGGGGGCGAGGCGTTCGGTGTGACGCGGCTGAGCGGCGCGCAGTGGGGGTATTGTTTGGGTTTCGCGGTGGTGTGTATCCCCTGGGCGGCGGTGTTGAAGTTCGTGCCGGATCGATATGTTGCCTGGGGGTTGGGGTGGGTTGGTGTCGGGGTGAGGAAGGTTGTACGGCCTTTGGGGGTTGTGGGGGCGTGGGTTAGGCGGTTAGTTGGGGGGTGTAAGGGGAGGTGGAGGGGAAGGGGGAAGAGGGTGGGACGTGGGGATGAGGAGATGGGGGCGGAGGGGTGATGAGCGATGCAATGGGTGTGCGTGTTGTCTGTAGGTGTTGAGAGTCAGTTGATGCGACCATCGGTAGAGACGTGTTGATGCTCTAGATGATATGTAAGGCCTAACTGCATTGCTCTGAGCTCGGCGGCCCGAGTTCCTCGTAATGACTTAACACAGTCTATATCCAGGGCAGCAAAGATAGCCATGTCTTATATTCTAGTCATCATAGGTAATACCACCCACCAGAAGGATATATTCTCGTTCCGTATAAAGATATATCCCCAACCCACAGGTAACAATACCCGCAAGAGAGCTACAACCGCCTCAACAAAACCATCTCCGTCGTCAACCCGGGCCCAAAACTGACCGCCACCACTTCCTTCCTCGTGCCCTGCCCCTCCCACCCCCTCAACCGATCCAACACCGCCAACACCGCCACACTCGAGCTATTCCCCCTCGATTCATACACCTCGCGACTCGCCCGAATCGCCTCATCCGACAACCCCAGCGCCAGCTGCGCGCCCCGCAGAACCGTCAACCCGCCCGGATGAAGCGCCCACTCCAACTCCCCCGGCGCTACCGACCTCATCCCATTCGCCCACATCAACTCCCCAAACAACCCCCGCAAGGACGCAACCGCAAGCTCCGGCACCTCCCGCGACAGCGTCAGCTGGAAGCCATACTCCGTAGTGCGGTAGGACATCGCCTCAAGCGTGTCCGGGGTAATCCGCGTCCGATAATCCAGCACCGCAAACCGCCTCGGAATGGCCCCCGTAAGCGCAAGGGCATTACACAGCACCAGCGCCGCAGCGCCATCGCCAAACAACACCGGACCGATACTGATCTCCTCTCCCGCCAAACCTAGCTGCGCAGCCGTAGAATGCAACTCCGCCGCGAGATGGATACTGCACACCTCGCACGCGAGCACCAACACCCGCGCGGGGTTTTGCTGTGCCGTGGCCGCCCGCGCGAGCGAGCTCCCCACCCGCAGGGCGGCAAGGCCCCCCGCGCAGCCGACCCCGCTGAGCAACACGCGTTCCGCCGCCGCAGAAATGCCCACCTCCCGGAACACGGCCTGGTCGTAGCCCGGGGCGCCCGCGTTGGTGACGGTCACGGCGACGGTGTGCGTGATGGCCGACGCGGGGAGGTGGCTGTCGGCTAGGGCTTTACGGGCGGCGCGGGCGGCGAGCGGGACGCCGTGGCGGTGGAATTCCGAGGAGACTTGTTGCGCGGTGGGCGGGGTGGCCTGGCTGGCGGGGTCGTACCACTCGGGGTTGTGGTTGCAGCCGATGAGTGCGCGCGAGGCGATGCCGCTGCGGGAGTGGACTTTGAGGAGCGTTTGGACCCTGGTATCGGGTTAGGGGGGAGTTTGTGAGGGCAGGGATGGGAGGTAGGTACCTACCATGCTGCATCTGCGGGATAATGGCGGAGGAGGTATTGGCGGAAGTCGTCGGAAGTGACAATCTGCGACGGCCATTCGGTGCCCAGGCCGGTGATGGTCAGCTCGTTCTCCCCCGCTCCCGCCCCCGCTGCCCCGCTTGGGGGGTGGGGGGTGCTGCCAGAGGAGAATGCGGTGCCCATTTTGTCGCAGATGTGGTCGCGAGATGGAGGAGAGTCGATATTACTTTAAGTTTAAGGGTAGGGCGAAGCTGCCTGCTTTTGATGTGTTCTTTCCGTGAATGGCCCTTGCATTTGTTCCTTCCATGAATTTGTCGGGATTGTTGCAATTAGGGACGAATACGAGCGTGGCGGTCATGCAGCCAGCTTGGCGGTGTCGCTTGGACCCCTGGACCAGACTACATTACTTGTGGGCACGGTGTGATCTCACGCATACTCTGGGTGTTGCATGCAGGGCCGAGGACTGCAAGGCTGCCGTTGACTTCGTGGATTGGGTCGCTAATACATGGCTACGTCACACTGCCGACATACACGAATCGACTGCGGCCTCTAGGATAATGCGGCGCACGCTCAACTCGAAGTCTGGAATTCTCAGGATCGTCCGATCTTTATATTTGTCTCTTTGGGCGGCTCTCCCGAAGTCGCCGTGGTTGGCATTGGCTGCGGACGTTCAGGATATGAATCGCACACTTTCTTCCTACGCTGACCGGCTCACTTGACTCCATAGACAGAGAAGGATATCCTTTCGACTAGTGACTCCCAGAATTGGTCAGAAATTGCGAAGGGTCATGACCTGGTCGGAATCACTGGGATTCGAACAGGTTCGTCCCCGACGAGTGAGTGTGGCCCTGGGTAGCTTTTCATTCTGCTCGAAAGATGCTATGTGTCTCATCAGAACCTGGGTTTCGAGAAGCATTTGTACTGCATAGTACTTGTGGTAGCCCTCGCAGAATGCCACCTGCTCCTCGAGTTTGGGGTTCATGTTAAGCTCTCCTATCGACGTCTAAACCAACTGTATACATGTGGGGACTTCAACATGATCCCTTATCGCGGAGAAATCGCTGGGCCTAAGTCTGTTTCCGTCGCTTTGTTTCCACTACAGACATTGGAATTGTCCTTTGTTCCATTCTTCCGAGGCGTCTTGGATAGTGGTCAGACTAGTCGAGGGTTCCCGAGCCACCCAGTGGAAGCATCATCTTCGAGTATCTATCCTCTGACGTCCGTGCATCTGTCCACTTTCTTGGCTTGACGGATTCCGTAAACTGTCCAGTCACCGGACCCGAAAGAGTGGGCAGTGCACGACGAGTAGGAAATTTGAATTAAGCTTTGGTCTGACGAGTACTCTAATTGCCACTGCAGGCTGCAAACGGAAGGGATACGGGGAGCGGGAGCGGGTGTGGGTCGGGGCTACGGGATACCCATCGAATGTTCGAAACTTTAGGATGGTGATCCATCAGAAGAGCAAACCTAATCGCAGATAAACAAGATACCACCGATCATGCAGGGTCTAGACGCCGGTCTTGATATCTCATCCGACCTGAGAATGAATGCTGCACAGCTTGGCCAATCATAACACCTTGGTCATTGACTATAAATGCCTGCTCTGCACACTCTCATCTGTAGAAACAAGTCACTCACCAAGAGCCCGCACTGTCCCAGAGAACTCCCCTATCCAAATATTATCTCCATCCACAATGAAAGCCTCACACTTTGTTGCATTCCTCCCCACCGCCGGACTGGTCGCAGGGATGCCCCATCAAGCCCGCGACCTCTGCGCCGGACTCCCCACCACCGGAGTGCTCAGCGCCGCCACCAACCTGCTCTGCGAGAAGATCACCCTGACCAACTCAGGCTGCTCAGTGCATGTGAAGTTCCCCTGGGATCTACCCAAGAGCTCCTTCACCTTGGAGGATGATACCTCGAAGACCTTCCTCGCTCAGCGCGGCCAGACGATCCAGCTGGACGCCCAGCCAAAAACCGACCACTCCGCCGCCACCTGGACAGGGACCAGCGGGGGGACCAACCCCACGACTTACAAGGTACCCCTGGTGGGCGACCTCCCGGATATCAAGGTGTCGTGTCCCGAGACCTGCGTGGCGACGGACAAGATTTGTAATATCAATGATCCAGGGATGTGTTGTTCGCGGACTTGTGGGGTTAAGCCTCAGATTGGGCCGGGGTATTTCTGTTATTAGCTTGAGAAGGACGTCGGGAGGGGCTAAGGGTACTTCTTAGAATGAGTAGCACCAGGAGATGTTCATCCGTGGTAGTTGGAGAATAATGATTATTCAATGATATCCAGTTGTCTTTTGTCATTCTGCATGCACAGTTGGGCCCATTTTACCTGTGGTCTATTGACCAGAAGGCTGAAAGTCGAACGCTGATGCCAAGCCAGAAGGAGGATTTGTGGTCATCTCAAGAATCGGTTTATGGAGGGGATGAAAGAGTAGAGAACAGCGCAGTTTCTTTTTCACCTGCAGGAATTGCAGTGTTTGCTGTTCTGTTACAGTCTCCCTTGTTGAATTCTGCTTTCGTGGTGCTCCAACTCATTAAAACTGCTAGCCTGTATATAATTGGTTTGGAGCTAATCTTTGGACCGACTCTGGTTACTGTGAGAGATACACTACGAGGAAACAGGCGATGGAGCAAATACAAGCATAGCTATATCCTACATTCGGGCTCAAAAGCATGTAACCCTTAGAAAAGCAGTCTCCTTGAGAGCATCGTCACCGCTTTCCGAGGGCACGACTACATCCGGCCGGATTCTTCGGCTTCCATCAGCCCGCCTTCATGCTTAGAATCGTGCAATTTTTTGCAGGAAGAGGAGTTTCCGAAGCTGGTTATGGAGGACTGCCATGATATAATATAGTGTCTGGCTAGCTCGAACCTAAATTTGGGATAGCATTGTCGTATAGTATATTCATACACATCGCGGGTTGGTCGAGATACCTTCTTGCGAAAGCCGTTATATGTTCAGCCATGATCTCCCGGAGGCTCTGACCAGATTTCCAGCACCTACAATTTGTGAGCGGCTTCCAACAACACCGTGGACGTCGAGAAGGCAGACTAGATAGGCTAAGGCTGCAATTTTCTATTTGCTGAACATCGACTGCGCTGCACCTGCTCAGAGTTGAGGTATCGAACTGACAGCTCTGAATATTGACCGCCTCGATACCATTTACCAATTCCGGATACTGCCGGCATAACCCGCCGCACACAGCCAAAACAGGCTTGGCCCGGCTACTTACAGTAGGCGGTCAGAAAGCACCCACTGGACCCCCATCTCGTATAGCATCCGAAAGAGGCTTAGCGCCAATATATTCTCCGTGGGTTGCAATCAAAGCTTGTACGAGGTGGAAGCGTCGGCTTGAGAGCTTCGAACAGGGGCGTTGGAAAATCGCATTATAAGTTAGACTGGCCGCTGTCATCCCCGCGGAGACGCCCCCGGCTGCCGCACGTCGACACGACTCCCACTCAGACCGATCCCAGCCGCCAGCAGACAATGGACCCGACAGAAGCCAAGCCGACGATCCAGCCCTTCACGGGGCGGATCGGAGGCAACCAGACGCTGGTGGTGGACCGACACGACCCGGACAATGCGGCCCTGTTGAAGCGGGTGCCCGACGCGGCCCCGATGATGAGCATCAAGGAAGGGTTGAAACCCGGGGGGTTCGGGGAGTTCGATCTGTGGAAGTTCGGCTTCATCGAATGCGTTGGTCTGCAGCCTGCCAGATTCCCCCGTCTCATAACCAACCCCTCCAACTAACCGTCCTGTGCAGGAACAATGCTCAACGTCTTCATAACAGCCTGGGCCTCCATCAAGCCCAGCAGCAACACCAGCACCAGCACCAGCACAACACCCGCCGGCGTCTACGCAACAGCCACCTTCCTCGGCCCAACAATCGGCAGCCTGATCAACTGGCTCACCCTCACCCTGTGCATCTTCACCTTCTCCAACGTGACCGGCAGCCACCTCAACCCGACCATCACGCTGGCCACCTTCTTCGCGCGACTGATCACCCTCCCGCGCGCCGTCATCTACCTGGCCGCGCAGACCCTGGGCGGCACCCTCGCCGGCCTGATGCTGCGCGCCGGCTACGGGTCCCGCGATTTCGCGGTGGGCGGGTGCGCCGTCAACACGTCCCTGGTCCCCGTGCGCGAGGCTTTCCTCCTCGAGTTCGTGTTCTGTCTGCTGCTGGTGTTCTGGTCGTTCGGGGTCGGACTGGATCCCCGCCAGGGGCGGCTGTTCGGCGCCGCGCTGTCGCCGTTTCTCGTGGGCATGGCGCTCGGCACGGTTAGTTGGGCGTCGGCGTTTTCGCGGGAGGGGTTCGGGGGTGCTGGTGCGTTTCTTCCCCCCCCCAGTTTCTTTCTTTCGCTTTTTTTGTCTTTCTGTCCTCGGTGCACAGTGTTGGGAGTTGGTTGTTCTTTGGGTTTTGAATGTGGGTCGTTAGGGCTAACCTGTTTTCTTCGGTAGGGCTGAATCCCGCGAGGTGTCTGGGGGTGTATGTCGCTACAGGGTTTCCGGGGTATCATTGGATCCATTGGGTGAGTTGTGCTTTTACTTTGCAGATTGGATGTGGTGCTGATGCTGTGCGTGTGCTGTAGGTTGCTGCGCTCGCTGCTGCGGTGGGGCATGGGGTGGTGTATTTCTGTGTGCCGCCGTGGAGTGCGTCGGATGTTCGAGTTTGAGGGTTTGTATCTCGGAAGATGATATACTGGACTAAACCGCTTCGGTGGTTGGGTGGGAGCCACGCACGCTGATTAATTCTACGAGGGTCAGGGTCAATGCTTGCCTATGCCCATGGCCTCTTGCACGCTCACGGCCTGCTGTCCTGACAGGGTGTCTAATTGATCAAAAACCCCGATCTAACACGATGCAACTGTTTATAGAGCTCCCTAATGTCATATCCTTCAACGATAGATCGAACCGCACCCCTCGCATGGTAATACATCATATTCAACATCCCGAACTCCTCCCCCCCTCCCCTAGATCCAGCCTCATTCCCAATAACTCCCAATCTCCCGCAAATCCCCCACCAACGCCACGGGATTATCCAGCCCAGGGAAATGGCCCCCGCGCTGATGATCTACAACCACGCCCGTTAGCACCCATACTAAGCAGCCCCACACCCCTCACATCATTTTCTCGGAGGAAAGAACCTACTGCGATACAACACCAAATTCCCCGTCTGCGCCACCAGCGCCGGCGGCCAGAATCCCACATTGTACTTGAACGCGCTAAACAGCAGCGGCGCGTCGGTGTGCGCCTTGCTGTAGACCGTGCTGAAGCCGTTGGGGTTCTGCGCGTAGATGACCACGGACGAGGCGAAGGTTTCGGTGAGGTAGTAGAGCGAGACGTGTCGCAGGATCTCGTTGTGGGTGAGCACCGAGGGGCTGGTTCCGGCGTTGGGGTCGGACCCTTCTCGGTTGTTAGATTGGCCATTGGAGATACGGAAAGGGTGGGTGCGAAGGGGGAGGGGCTGACTTACAGTTGAGGAATTTCTCGCCGATCCAGGCGAGTTGGCCGATGGGGTTATCTTGGAGGGCGAGGCCGATTGTGTTGGGCTTCATGGGTTGTGATGTTAGCTTAGCTCTTGGGTCCCGGGTTTGCGGCATGCGGAGATGCGGGAGGCGAAATGCATAGGAGGCATACCTTTGTGGTCTGCTCGTTGAAATACCCCTCGCCCGAGTTGTTCCACTCCATGGTTTCCGCCTCCTCGAAGGCTTCCAGCGCGTCCAGCGTGATGTTCTGCGCCGCCAGCGCCGCCGGGGTCAACGGGAAGAATGGTAGGAACGCCAGGTGGCCCGCGCGGACGGTCGAGTTGTACTGGTCGTACAGGTTGTAGGCGATGCCGGCGCCCCAGTCCGTCCCGAACACCGCGTAGGTCTCGTAGTGCAGGACCTGGGTGAGCAAGGTGTTGAAGACCCGCGCCGTGTCGGCGATGGTCCAGTTCACCGGGGGCACCGAGGAGAAGGCGAACCCGGGCAGGGAGGGCACGATCACGTCGAAGGCGACCTTCCTGCCGGTTGCGGTGGTCGCTTGAGCGGTCAGCTCGTCGATGATGGGGGCGAACTCCAGGAACGAGCCGGGCCAGCCGTGCAGGAGTAGCAGCGGGATGGCATCGGAGGCATTTGCCTTCTCGTGGACAAAGTGGATGGTTAGGTCTTCGATGGTGGTGGTGTACTGGTTGAATCTGCCAGCAATTAGCATTGACCAAGAATCGGCCTGGTGCACTTACTTGTTGATATTCTTCTGCTCGGTCTTCCAGTCAAAATCCGTGAGCCATTCCTGCTGGAAGGATTTCAGATCGTGCAAGGTGATCCCCTGCGCATTGCCGGTGTTGACGTACACCGGCTGCGCGGGCAGCTTCGTGCTGCGGATCTGCTCCAGCATGCGCGGCACCTTCGCCGACAGGTCGACGTGAAACGGATGCACCTGCCATGCAGTTCGCGCTCGCACGGGACTGCCCTGGCTCGATCCCACAAGGGAGCTGAGGGCGAACACCTGGGCCCACGACACGCGCATTCGGAATTCTGCTTGCCCTCGTAATTGTGGTTTGGAGGAATTATGGATGCACCGCCAGCCCGGGCGCATGCGCTCATTATATACCCCTCATCCCTCCCCAGCGAACCCGAGAAATTCGACGTAGAAGCGATGTCCACGATTGCTAAGCTCACATTACCAATCGCCGTCGAAATCACATCGCGCCATCGAGACCGCTACAGCTGAGGCGGAATACCTCGTATACGGGCCCCACTATTGATGAGGAACAATAAGCGCTAAGCTGTCCCGCTAGCTTATTTTCAGTCGTGGAGCCATCGTATTAGATGGATTTTCCCTCCGCTAGCTGCTAAGGAGTATAGTCCCTCAGCCGCGTCCCCTGCAGAAACAGTTGGGCGGGTGAGGGGCTCACTCAATGGAGTGGGCTTATCTGGCTAATGTGGCCGGGCAACTGCAGGGCTCTCTTTGCACGGGTCGGGTTTTGTGGAATGAGTTTTTATGTTGGATTGTAGTTCGTTGGATCTGGCATTTAAAGGTCCCGTCAGTGCCAGTATGTGCATCTGACAAGTATTCCATGATTAGACCAGGTAGGTTGTTAGGGTATTCCTTTGGAAGCAAGGCAAGTGCAGAAAAGCAGAGGCGAGCGGCAAGACCCGTCCGCCCCGCCCGGACAGGACCGATTCCACGATTCCACCCAATCTCCTTACCACGTTACCACGATACCACTTCATCATAGATACAGGGCCAGATAGTGTAAGTCTTAGCAGACAAGGTGGTTCAGAAAAGATGATAGCGGGATCAATTGAGATTCTGGGGTCAAGCGGGACAAAACGCCTGAGGGAGAAAAGATCGCCCAGCTTAATAAGCTTTAAAAACCTCTGGTTCGTTCTACTCCTGGTCTGATCCTAGTATACAAGCTTGTAAACCCATGGAGGGTATTAGGTCTCACTATGATCGTCCATCATACCTTAAGGACAATGAGGCTTGCTACCAAGGTTTAAGAACGCGTGCAGACAAAATTGGAACCAGTGCAGCTAGCTCAGACTGGGATGATATCGATCGGCCATAACGCTAACGTAAGTGAATGAAGGATGGATTGTAGTTCTCCAGGCTCAGAGGACTTGCGGAAGCTCATGCTAAATCTTCGAGTACGATGTGAGTATCGTGTAGTGTCCAGGTGCGGGGTAGGCACGCCTGAGCTGGTGCTGGCGGGCCGAGTACCACTATGGCAGAGAATCGAACGCACGTGTTTGCGAATACAGAAGGAATAGTAAGCGGTTAACCTCACAGATGAAATTGAAATAGACCGTGTTTATATACCTAGGAGAGCCAGAGTATTTACTCCCGAAAAGGTGTGTAAAAGCTAGCAGGCTATTCAACATGAAAATGTAGTACAGGGTGGAGGTTTTGATTAATTTTCGTAGCCCCATGCTCAATGGCTGAGCTACCCGATCAACTGGGCTTTATGATCAGGTCCCTATACTGTCGTGAATAGGATGTGCGGAAAAGATTGGAGGGAAAAATAAGCATGGATCATAGGAGGGCTATTTGCATTTGCTATCTGAGAAAAAGGACAGTTATATATATTATTAGTCATTAATTTCTCTGGGATTAGTATGAGGATTGGTTCCTAGGAATACTTTTATGTTTGTCGGGCCTCGACTTTAAGTTATAAATGGATAAGCTTAGATCCTATATCCGAATACCCATACTGGTTACTAATATGAAGATCGATTTTTCTCCTCCACAATCCCACGGACAATCAGACAGATGAGTTAGGTGTCTGAAAGAATGTTGGAACACAAGGCATCCCAATTGGCTGATGGTACGAATTGCCAGACACGGACAGCGTGAGCACATCTTGGCAAGAATGCTGCGCTACTGCTCAGCCTTGCATGTCACCATGCATCCTAATGCAGTCAGCACACCACAATGCTGGACCTGGTTTCTTCTCGGGCAGTGCCTCGGGCGGTGCCTCGCAGGTACGGAGTCTTATAAATCCTGACCTCCTTGGCATTTTGCCAGCACCAGTAGCACAGTCCTTCAGTTTTATCCACATCTCCCCACAACGGTCATGTCCGGATTAGCCCTGGGCCCTCAAGGCACCCATATCTCTTTTGACGCATTTATCGCTACTCTCTGGACCTTTACTGCTCTCTGTTTTTGCTCTATCCTTTTCCGTCTCTACGTCCGTCTCTTGACCTACCGCAGGCTTTTCCTTGACGATGCTCTTGTCGGGCTGGCCTGGGCGATGATGCTGGCAACGACGGTGATGTGGCAGGTCGAGGGGCCGGCCTTGTATCATTATGCGCCCGTGTTCAGTGGCAAGACACTGCCGACCCTCGAGTTCCTGGATGCGTATACGCATCTGCAAGGATACTTGGTCGCCTGGCTGGTCTTGTTCTACTCCGGACTGTGGTTGGTGAAGCTGTCCTTCTTGACCTTCTTCTACACTCTAGGCACCAAGATCCGGATCCACCGCGTGTGGTGGTGGATCGTCTTTGGCATCACGATCGCGTGGTGGATTATCTGCATCGGAATCATCGATTACCGCTGCACCATCAACAGCACCGCCTACACCATGAGTGAGTTCCAATCCTCAGGGTCCCCTCCTGCACCGGTTGACCTTCGCACCCTGCAGCGCACTGTGGCTCCATCGACCGTGTACATCATGACAATCAGATCATCTATGGCAGCTGCGCCGGCGATATCGTGACGGATGCCCTCAGTCAGTTTCCATCACTTCCCCCTCGGCGCTGGACTGGTGATTTAATCTCGGGCGCAGTTCTTTCCGTTCCGGTATTCGTCCTCTGGAACTCCCAGCTTCCGCTACGCCAGAAGATGGTCCTGCTCGCCTTCTTTTTCGCGACGGTGGTGATTATGGCGGTCGCCATTGTGCGGGTGGCCGTGGGCATCGACTACGCGCAGACGATGGACATCTCGTGGGTCTACTTCTGGTCCTGTATCGAGATGGGAACGGGTACGTCATTTCGTTGTGATGAGGTACTGCTTCCCCTGACTGACATCTGGCTTTCCATGGCAAATGACAGCCGTGATGGTCGCCTGCGCCGCATCTTTCCGGCAGCTCTACATCACCTCGCGCAACCGACACTTGTTCGGGAAAGGGCCCAAGGTGAAACAGGCAGTCGACTCGGGCCATCACCGACTCCTCCAGTTCCAGTTTCGGGACACGCAGTCGAGTGCGGCTCGTGTCTCGGAGGAGCCCTCCACCCACTCGACGGAGCATATTCTGATAGGCAAGCTGGCGCACAGGAGTCTAGAGAGTGATATTCCTGTCTAGGAACAGTCCTTTTCTGTTTGCGTGATTGTCCTTTGAATAGCGGATCAAGCTGCTTGTCAGGTTGTCAACCCCCCCCTGAAAGATTAGAAACCAGCTCTGAGTCCTGCAGCAATCGGCCCCCACGTATGAGTAGCGAATCAAAAGAACTGCACATCAACACTGGGGGCCGGGGTCGGAATGGGGGTGGGAGTGGGGGTTACCCCTCAGTTATCATGTAAAAGACCCGAAGCTTAGCTCAGCGTCAGCAAGGACATAAGCACTAAATATCTCTCCCCAAATCAGCTCCATCTCGTTTATCGTTAAAGACTGGCAGATTGGCAAGACATGGACATCTGCGTCATTCAGCCTGAACACATCATCGACCACATTTCTACACGAAAACGTCGACGTGTCTGGTGCTAGAATAAATCCCCCGTCTGGGCAATAATCTGCGAAATGCCGTGGAAATATGGCACCCTAATCGGCACGAGTAGCTTGCCGTCTGCAGCTATCCTGCGGGATGAGGATAATAAATAAGTCCGCCGCGGGCGCTAGCATCATGCCTGCAAACGATGTACCGCACCTCGACAAGGAGTCTAGCATCGAATCCACGGAAGTATGTGCTGTACTTGTATCCTGATCACAGCTAGGAAGCGGGAGGTGGAGTTCCTCGGATCGCCGATGATAGTTCCAAACCACTAGTCGTACCACCATTCGTCGACTTCAAGGATAAACGGTGCTCCATTATCTCAATTCCAATCCCTGCACATTTGCTTTGTGGCGGGCAAACGCGTCTTCCTCAGGGGTTGCGTGGCCGGGACCTCGACAGCCCCCATCGAAATACACAACAAGCCCACGAAGAACGAAGAATCCCGCAGCACGAATCTCCTTCTATCCAGCTATCTTATATTGCGATCCAGCTATATTCATACATCCGTGACAACCTCAGACCGGAGTCCTCCCTCGCAAATCCTTTCGCTCACTCACTCCAGGTCATCGCAAGACATGGGCAAGACACCGAACATGGAGGATTTCGACGAGGCGCTGCCAGGAGGGAATAAAACGGACTGGGCGCGGCTCAAAGACCTCCTCCTCCTTGTCTTGAAGCGGAGTGGCCTGTTCCAGCTGGCGATGAAGACCCCGGGACTGCGCCAGCAGCTGCGCGAGGAACTGGTCGCCCGCATCCACGCGATGCCCCGGTTTGTGCGGCGGGGCTACCGCGACGATGTCGAGCACTGCTTGGACTACCTGATGCGGTATCCATACAGAGTCCGAACCGCCTACACCCGGGGGATACTCCGAGCCAAGCGGAGGAAGGCGTTACGCGGGTTGGACTCGGAGACCGAGACCGCCGATTCATCGGATTCGGAGTCTTCGACCGCCCGACGAAGACGGCGACGACGAAACAGGCACCAGAGAGGAGAACGGGGTAGAAGACGAGCGGGGTCTGTGTCATCCTCATCGGAGTCGGCGTCCGATGCCGATCCATCAGACTTCGATACTCCCATTGCCCGACATCGGGGACTCCAGAAGCGGAGCAAGCGTCGGAGAAGAGAAGAGAGCACCACCAGAAGAGCGGTCCCTGTCGCATACTCATCAGATGCGGGCATCGATGCTATTAATACGACCGATTCGGATACCTCCACTACCCGACGAACAGGACAGCAGAACAAGCGCTGGGGAAGACAGCAGACCCCAAGAAGAGCGGGGACTGTATCCTGCTCAGTGGATTCGGAGGGTGATGCCATCGCCTCCATTCAGGAGGTGGCTACGACGCGACCACAAACACGGTCGCAGAAAAAGAAGCAACAACAAGAAGAAGAACGAGAGCAGCAACAGCACGAAAAACAGCCCCTGAACAATCTCCATGCCCGTATTCGGACCTCCGACGCGGGCGGCGAGTTGAAGTTCGTTGTCTGGGATTTCAACTCGCTGTCTCATTCCAAACTGATAGAGTATCTCCGCGAGCATGAGGGTTATGACCAGGGCTCGGATGGTATCCAGTGGACCGATCCCGCAGGAACAAAATCAGTCCGGGTCTCCAACGAGCGGAGCTGGAAGATGGCGCGAAGCAAGATGGGCAGATTCAGCGGGCCGAGTTGGCTTAGAATAATCCGGAATCCTCATGTTGATATGCGCTTTCATTCCATTTGATCGATGCTGAAACAATCCTTAATGAGTCTGGAGCGGGGACTTTCCCATCAGCTCAACCATCACTACCTCCCCACCCGGTGGCACGGACGGACTGCTTCTTACTCGTCGACCAATTCAATTGAACTGGTCAATTCGCCCTTTTTGTTTGACATTCCTTGGCGGGCGACGTCCCCATCCTTTGAGGAAGGCCGGTCGCCAGCTGCTTCCACACCGGTTAAATCTGCTTGCTCATCAACCCGGCCTCTCTCATCACCTCGAATCCCTTCGCCGACGCGGCTCGACCCCTGGGCTGGCCGCACTCACCGACGAGCGGCAGCGAGAGCTATTCGAGCCAAGAATGCATGATCGAACCGGTCTAGATCACTAAATGCCTGATCATGGACGGCGGGGGGGTCGAATCCTATCGCGTAGTCTGGAAGACGCTACGCTGTTGATTCCAGGGAACAATAGGCAGGGAGGAGGCAGAGATTATGTTGCTGGAGATCCAATGGACATACTGTCTCTATTCCGACTGATTCGAAAATCAGAATCCATGCATTCAATTCCGTGAAAAACAAGCGTGACAAAAAGAGGTAAAAAAGACTCATTCCCCCTCTGCTGGAGGCATTGATCCAGGCCCCGCCCTAAACATACCTATCGTACGTCCGAAACCGATGCGGCAACTCTCCGCTCCCGCCCGCCAGGGTCACCTCCCAGTACTCGCCCATCAGCTCGCGCTTGAACAGCTTCTTCCCAGGCGGCTTAGCCACCAGCCTATCCAAAGTCTCGACCACCTGCGCGACCCAATCGATCTTCCGCCCCACCTCCTGCGCCAGCATGTTGCACCGCACCATCACCTGCCAGCATCGCGTGAGGTAGTCGCGCAACTCCGCGCGGTTCGCGCGGTGCAGCGGATCGTGCGGAACCGGCAGTCGCCGCGCATGTTGGCTATTGTACTCCGCCAGCGCCGTGATATACTCGACCAACTCCTGCGGGAGACCCCCGCGCACTCGCAGATAACCCTCCACGCGCGCGACGTCCGTCAACTGCGGTCGATAGACCGCCTTCTTCCCGCAGTTTAGAAACACCTCGAACGGCACCTGGCCGTAGGGGAAGGTCCGGTTGGTCAGAATGAGCGTAGGGGCCGCGGCAGCCGTCTCGCTGGGGCGGGTCGAATCGTTCAACCACCCCAGCCTCGCGCCCCGGACCTCGCTGGTGGCCTCCAGCAGCGCCAGGAAGCCCGGCTCCCGGCGGTAGCGCGTGACCTGTGTCTGCCAGTGGAAATGGCCGTCGAGGCCGAAGAAACGCCGGTGCAGGTGCTGGGCGACCTCGTTCGAGGAGCCCTCGAAGGTCCACCGCCGCAGCGTGCGCTGGTAGATCCGCGTGTTGCGGTATTCGTCGGACCGTTTCTTGTTGGCGGCTTGGCGCGAGGCCGGGTCCCAGAGGGAGGGGATGCTGTGCAGGATGTTGAGGGTCAGGTACATCTGTAGCGCGCCGGCGAAGAGCTGGTCCCAGCCGCGGTCGGGGGTCTGTAGTCTTGCATTGGTACTGGGTTTTGACTGTTGCCCTGTTTTTTCTTGTTGGGGAAGGGGTGTTGTGCGGTGTGCGTACCATGCAATAACATTCGTACATCTCCATCCACTCCGCCAGGTCGTTGTCCGGCGTGGCGGCCAGCCGCAGCACAGGGTCCATCTCTCCGAGGAGCATGAGGCTGCTCACCACCTGCATGTTGTAGAAGGCCCCAGCGTTGACATCCATAAATTTGTAGCAGTCGTTGCGTCGGTAGCGGCGCAGAAAGGCCGATCCCATTCGCTCGCGGTACGGTAACGGGCATCCGCAATGATCCTCGCGCCTGTCGGGGCTACTGCTGCCGCTATTGCTGATACTACTGCTGCTGCTGCTGCTGCTGCTGCTCATACTGCTCCTTCGGCTGTTGCTGTGACCGGTGTAGTCCCGATGCAAACACAGCTTAGGGCTCTCCGCCTTGACAGTCGTCCCGTACGGCCACTTGCGGTCCTGGTAGGCCGTGCACCATCGGTACGCCAAGGGCCGGAGTCTTTCCGCGAGGCGATCATCCAAAACTAAATCATCCGGCTGGATCGGACTATACTGCGCGGGGTATTTCCGCCGTTCGGTGCGGGTGTGCTCTTCGATGGCGCGGGCGAAGGACTCGGCAAAGTAGCCGATCTCCTTCCCCTGGGCGGGCCGGAACCGGAAGTACAGATCCGAGACGAGCTGAGCGCTGTCTGGGGACGCTGGGGCCGATCGATGGTGGAGATTCTGGGCGAGGGTGTTCCAGCTGATGCTGTGGGCTTGGTGAGCCATCTTGCAGTAAGATTGGTGTCGTAGGGGTTATGGCGTGGAGAAGCAGAGATGCAAAGCTTTAAGGGATTGAAGGATTTGCCAAGCTATTTTCGGGGTGGGCTTGCGGTAGGCCCACTTGTGACTCATGGTCCCTAATTATCCGTGTCAGAATGATCTAAATCTGTCTATGTACGGAGAATAAAGATCTATCAGCAGTTGTGAGAGGGGTGTACGCTCCCTGGCCAGCTAAACTACAACTTGCCAAGAGATTCACGTAGTGATTGAAGGCAAAAACCTACAAACCATACCTGACATCTCTGCAGTGTATGTCGGTATCAAAGAGCATCTCCACAAGTTGGGTCTTTTAAACAAATCATGTCGTCTTACAATTGTGGTTTTTCTAGCAATCTTTCAAGTTATTTCACTTAGGTGTAAGTTAGCTGGCTAGGGAGGTTAGTTTTAGACAAATCTGTGATAGACCCAGGGTATGTTCAAACTCAGCCACAGCTGCTATTATAGGACAGTAGAACGCTTGAATACGGTCGCAACATGGATAGGTGGCATTACATCTGGATTAAACCTTCTGTATTACAGCTCCATAGTTGATAAAAGTCGAGACCCTGACGCACCTGACTTTGAAAAGCTCCGAGGATAAGCAGGCATGCTTGGCGCAGCCCCGCATTTGCGTAATTCAGTAAGGCTACTTGACCTCCCTCTGCCCACGAGATACTTTGACTGTCTACATCGTTCCTCCTTCTTTATAATTGTTTGGCTGATTCTCCAGAATTTCAATCATGACCTTCCCACCCACCCCGACCGGCGAGACCAGCTCCCATGCCGGCAACTGCCACTGCGGCGCGGTGCAGTTCCACTTCGTCCTATCGCCGCCACTACCCGAGTACCCGACTGCCAGCTGCAACTGCTCCATCTGCTCGAAGAACGGGTATCTACTCGTGTACCCGTTCCAGAAGGACTTCTTTATCGACCAAGGCGCCGAGGTGCTCAAGGAGTATCGCTTTGGCGACCGCAAGGCGACGCACCAGTTCTGCAGCGAATGCGGCAGCAGTTGCTTCATCTGGCCACCTCCGATGGAAGGTGAACCGATCACGGCTGTCAATGTAAGTAGGAAGTTCAACCTTGTTTACTTGTTGCATAGGTGGGACCAACCACAGCCTCCTTAGGTGCGGCTCCTAAAAGACTTTGACCCAGAGATCCTGAAGATCAACAAGGTTGATGGCAAGTCGTTTCCGCCGGAATATAGAGCTTAAATTGGCGGAATCATCTACTCCGATTTAGGGATGCGCTGGCTGGAGTTGCTTGGGTATCTTTCTCTCTCTTGCATTTTTGTATACTATCTATCTCTTTCTGCATCCAACCGATCTCCTCTCCTGACGGTCGCTTTAATTAGGCTGGTCATCCTGCATGTGTCTGAGAAAATATAATGCCGCTTTTCTACTTGAACCTGGGGCTCGATTATTGATGGACCAACAGTATGACCTTTAGGCGTAAGAAAGACGATACCAGCAGGCTGTCTTTGCCTTTGCCCTTAGCATAGATACTATCGGGGAATATTTCAAAACAGGCAATGGACAGCTCCGAATAGCACAACCTTCACCCGAGACTACCCGTGTGGATTGAGGATCATTGCTACTGTGGGCCCAACCTTTGAAGCCTGGGGTATAGAGCGGAGTTTATTACCGAGGACAATGTGGCGGGCGCCCAGTCTAAGCATCTCGCCGAGATCAAAGGAACAAGGGCTTGTCTATAAAGTTGACCCTTTCTTCTAAGCCGATCGATCCTACCTGACTCTGATTCCACCGACGCATGCGCATTCCTTTCATCAGTACAATGACTACTGGGCGTTTTCTTCTGTTGCAACTTGATTTGCTTTCTCTCTCATTGTGCGCCCCGCGCAAATCGCCGCCTGGGTACAATTTCTTTGTCTTTGCTTGGTAGGGGCAAGGGCATCAGCATGGTATAAATAGACCAATAGGCTCTTCGGATCTGTGATATCCTTCTACAGCACAACCCACCGTCTCAAGAACCTCGTGTGTGTTTGAAGTTTGATTCTCACCCCAGCAAGAGGAGCCTGTGATCCACGTTCGCATCGGCTCTAGACCTCTGCACTACACCTGCAAGCCCTATCCGTCTTTCCCCGAGCACCGTCAGACACACACAGACATCATGCCTCCCTCGAAGCAGGATCAGCCTTCCAAGAAGGACCAGTCCCCAAAGAAGGACCAGTCCCCCAACAAGCGCCAGCCAGGCAAGAAGTATCAGGCCCCCAGACAATGGTCCACGTACCCCGCGCTCCACGAGCGAGTGCAACAGCTCCTCGCGGACGCGGGCCTCGCTTACCTGACCTTCCATGCGCAGGATACCGACGCCGGCAAGCTCAGGGACTACGACACGACCATCATGGGCCGCTTCGTCTGCCACAACCGCACCTGCGAGGCGGCCGGGTGGTCGAGCAAGGCCGTCGCCATCCGGATCCGCATGTACCCGGACGGCAAGTACAACGCGCGCGTCTACCACCAGCGCTGTCGGGGCTGCAATGCCCTCAGCCGGCCGTTCCTCAACGCATCCTCCTACGCCGAGCGCGTCGCCTACCGCCTCAAGAAATGGCATGGCGTCCAGGTGACCCCGCCCGCCTACGGGGGCGCTCCTAAAGCTCCCCACGATGAGGAGCTGTGCGAGGGCTGCAAGGCGGGTCACTGTTTTGCAGGCAAGCGCTGGCGGGGTGAGGATGTCGGGGAATTGAGTACGGCGATGGCGGCGTTGTGATTGAGGCACTCCGGTGTTACTTCGGGTGAATCTGGTAATGGTCGTTTCTGTGGTTTGGATCCATTGCCACTCACATCATCCAACAATGTTGTACGATTGCCTGTTAGAAGTATCGTAAATCACATTCTATGAATTCCAAAAGTTCTATGTGACCCATTTTGTCTTTGTTTATACTCTGTATTTGCTTTCACGACGAAGGTCTATCGCATGTAGTTGTTTTTCTCATGTAAAGCTTGAAAGCTCGTTACCCAAGATGATTCTCTCCTTGGGTGGAAGGATTTCATCTAAACTCTAGATAATATATGTCCAGCCATGCTAATTTGTCCCTCCGACGTGGACTGCAGGCAGAGGTTTGATTCGCATACAGGACACCCTACGTCATTTCTTCTCACCAACCCTTCTCCGTGGAGTAGGGACCACTTTAACTTCCCCAGCATAGTGAAACGGAAAACCTGGAGGGTTTACTCAGAAATGCGACCTCAATCGCTCCTAACATACAAATGTAGAGAAACAATAACTTGCGACCCTAGGACCTCTCCACCGCCAGCCAATCGGTTGACCTATTCGTCTCCTATCCGACCTGGGAAGTTTCAGTCCATGAAAGCCCTATACCAAATCCAAATTCCGAACGCCAACAGTAAAAAGCACCATATGACACCAAGCACCCTAAGGCCCAGGCCTAAGCCTCCACCAACGATTCTACCTCGAAGCAAGCTCAACCCCCACTCAAAAAAGCGTCTATTCTCAGCCGCTGCATACCCTGACGAGAAAGCCCCCTCAGCCCCAGACTCATCTGCCCAGACCTTAAAGATCTGCTCAACCGACCGTGCCACCAGCAGGCCGACCATGCGCTTATTCTCGCCGTCATTCTGGATCGTCTTCGCCCGGATCGCCTTCTCCTCTCGATCCAACCGATCGCGCTCTGCCTGTATGTAATCCAGCTGACAGGCCAGATTCGCTTCCAGCAGACTCTTGTCAGACTCCAGGATTGTGATCTTCTCCTGTAGGTCGCGGTGCAGATCACCCAGCTGCGCGCTCAGCAGCGCGTCGCCGAGCGTCGTGGCCAGTTTCCCTGCGACGGCCACGAGGTCACAGACCCCCTGTGCCGTCGTAGGGAGGCGATGCACTGCAGTGTGCCGGATCTTGACCACGGTTGCAAGCATCGTCTCCAGCTCGAGGTCCGTCGGACGCAGCGTGCCGTCGGGTAGTCGGGACGCCCATCGGCCGAGAAGCCGCGTCCACTTGCTCAGTTCGACCGCCTGCGCGCAGTCCCAGCCCCGGATTGTGAGCTCGTCTGGTAGATATCGTTGGCAGAAGTCGAAGATGCATTCCTCCAGGACTTGTTGGACGGTCGTTAGGATGTGATGCTGGGCGTGGTAGGGCAGGTATAGCGGGAAGAGCGCGGCAGGCGGTCGCTCGGGGGATAGGGTCTGGTCTGTAGACATCGAGTTCTGGTCAGTGGAAGAGTCGAGACAAGTAGGGAGGGTATCGTGGGCAGTACCTGATCCATTTCCCCACACGTGCGGTTCCACTTCAACGGCGCTGGCAGCTGCTGGTATTGAGGCCATGGCAGGCTCAGATGGGAGTGCCAAACCGCCTTTCCCTTCCTCGTCCTTCTCTTCCTCTTTACACTGCTCTGCCTCGTACGTCTCTGCGAGCTCCTGGAGAGCCCGCTCATTGGACTGCGATGCTTCTTGTTCAAGTGCCGCATGCTGCGTCTGCCGCACGGAGCACGGCTCAAGGAGACCGGGAAACTGCAACTGGGGTTTACTGCTTGACTGGAACAGGCCCTTTTCCAAGAAATATTTGACCAGAGGCAGGACCCGCCAGATGTCGTAGTTGGGAATGAGAGCTTGCAGTGCGCTGTGGTGGCTTTCCAGATGCGCCCGGATGGTCTTCGTCTTGCGGATGTTGGCGTTCGTGCCGCTGAAGATCGCGCGACACGCTAGGAAGATGGCGCGTTGTTCGGAGCTGGGGATTGTGTCCATCGTTGGATGAGATTCCTTTCCCTGGTGTGTGTTACCTTTGTCGTTGGGGATGAAGAGGGATTTAGAATGCTCGCGGGATGGATGCGCGGTGATGGTGATGATACTTTGTAGCAATGGACGGACAAAGAAGGGATAATGGTTGAGTGATAGATTTCGTGGTTGTGAACCTCACTCTTTCATCATATTTTGACCTGCCTACTAACCACCACCACCTTTATATCATCCACGTTCTCATGACGTGGGTATGTTAGTCCTATTAGGGCTTCCAGAGTCAAGCGTCTACCTGCGGCTGTGAATTCCACGAGGCTGGCCCGCTATACTCAACTGGGCACGCCACTTCCAATTCTTAAAGCCGCTCAAACCACAAGTACGCGCCTTCTTTCATGGATGAGTCGACTTTCCGGAATTCTATATGAGAGGCACTGCCATCGATTGGATGAGAAGTACTGGTTCTCCCGTCGGAAGTCGCAGCGGACCGCAGATGCAAGTGTACTATGCCGTAGCGCCGGCGGCAAACTGCCTGGGGATTACTGCACAGCCACACCAGGGGCTTCCAGCTATAGTGAATGTATCAAGGCTGCTATACTGCTTGGTATAGCAATGTTTTAATCCTTGTCTATACACAGTGGAGGATAGAAGCTATTGAGCAATATGGCCTGTCTTGCGATAGCCTACGGATACAATCTTCGTCTTGATCGCCGCATTACTTCTTGCTCTTTGTGTCTACTCCCTTTCATATTCGTGTTCGACAGATCTGTATCTACTACTTCTCTCTCTAGATGTACCAACTACGTCATTGATCTCCTTCTCACGTGTATATAAGTTTTGAGCTATGGTGCTGCACCAGGGGCCTTTTCGTGTTCTTCTCACTTCCATACAGGACTGCATGCGCCACACTGCGCCACACCGACCCCCTGCCTGCATTAACCGCCGCAGTCATCTTGCATAAATGCCGCCATTTCCCACCAGTGACTCGAAGGCAGTGCAGAGCTACTTCCAATCGACCGTCGCAGCCTGCTTGCAGGGCTGCAAGCTGCCTTGGTATTTCAATGAGCTCATTGATCCAGCTGAACTAATCACTGCCGTGTTGGCAGAAAGGTCCGCACGAGCACCGACATGTTCCCGAGCCCCGTAGACCGGAAACAAAAGTCCAGAAGTATATGTCCACCGAGGTGATCGGAATACCCAACGACAAAGATGTTCTCGTAAACATGATGGTCGCCGCAATCCGTTGGCCTCTTGGTGAAGCAATCGGTCTTGTGAGACGCGTCTCATTGCCCTGAACCGCTACGGCTTGCAAGGAAGGGGGCGTTGCTTTCATCTGACCCCCTCTGAAGATCTGGGGTCACAGGGTGTGTGTGAGATGAATACAAGCAGTATTATACCTGAACTATGAGGCCTACTCCTGCTATCAGGTCATTCCGCAATCGCATAATGTTGACCCCGATCCAGTATAACCCTCGTACACCCATAACCCCCCCCGAAGACATCCTGCTAGCCCTATCCCTCCAACGCCGCTATCTCCGCCTCATAAAGCTCCAAACTCTGCATCCTTGCCACACTCTGCTTCGCCGTATACGCAAACGGCTTCTCCTCGGTCGCGACAATCACCCGCCCCATCTCCAACCGCACACACTCATGAACCCGCGCGTTGACCTTGTCCACATACGGCCGCAGACTCTCCACCTCAAACTCCGACGCTGTCGTCCCATCCACCAACTGCACCACGAGTACCGGCTTCGCCAGCCCATGGCCCCCAATCAACGCCGCTCTGACCGCAGGGTGGGCCGTGATCTCCGGCTCCAGCGACGAGGCATGCAGTCCATCGCTGTGCGAGAGGGGGACGTAGTCGTCCGTGCGGCCGACGATCTGCCACAGGTCCTTGTGGACGGGGTGCGGGCGCCAGAGGTCGTGGGTCTCGAACCGTGTCAGGTGCGGGTAGGTCTGGAAGATGACGGGTTCGTCGTCTGTCTCTATCACTCCGGAGGTCATCGCGGGGTCCTCGCGGACGAACACCAGCTCGTGCAGCCCGTCAGCGGTGCGGGGCTCGAATGTTGCGCCCTTTTGCTGCGCGAAGGACAGCCACAGGTAGGCGTCGGGGTCGCGTTGCGAGTGGTGCGTCGCGAAGTACCCCCCTGCTTCGGTGGTGCCGACCCCGTTGATGACCACGGGGATGTAGGGCGTCAGCAGCGCGGCGGATTTGGCGGCCAGCGGGGCCCCGGCGTACATCAGGAAGTTGAGGCTGCGGAGCGCGGCGAGGCCGGCGTCGGAGAGGCAGAGGCCGTCGATTAGGGCGGGTGGGAGGAGGGTGCCGTCGATGTGGGTGTTTTGGAACACGGAGATGATGGTGGATGGGGTGAGAGCTGTGGATGGGCCTAGCACGGCGGTCATGTTGACGTAGGTTGTTGTTGCCAGGATGAGCATCATGCCGGTTAGCTTTGGGGTTGTTCGTATGGTTAGTTGAAGGCACTGTTGTAGGGTTGAATGGGGGACATACGTGGAGGGAGGGGATAGGGGTGAAGAGTCTGTGATTGGCGGCGCGGTGGACCATGCTGTCCTTGATGTTCGGGGAGGCGGCCATCATGTCGATCGAAGCCATCATCCGGTGCGTCCAGGTCACCGGCTTGGGGTTTCCGGTCGTGCCCGAAGTGTGGAACACCAGCCACGGGTCATTTTTGCCCTCGTCCCATGTTTTGCTGTATGTGACGGGCTCCGCTTCGGTGTCCTTGAGGAACTCCTCGAGGTCTGGAATGTCGATCGTTTGAACGTGCGGTGCATCGTGCAGGATTACATCTACCTGGGTTGTCATGGTTGATGGCCGCAGGTACACGGTGCACTTCTGCTGCTCCAGGATGCGGCGTTGCGCTTCGGCCGTCACTAGCGGGGAGGGGAGGATAAGCTAGCATGTAATCAGCGGTGTTAGTTTTCAATCATGCGCACACTATGCGCAACCTACCACTTTTTGCAGTTTCGCGGCAGCAACTGCGAGGATCGGGTAGCGGAGATCTTTGGGTCCCGCGTAGGCGAACTTCTGGAATGGCTCCGACGTCTCGGGGAGATTCTGTCGGAGCCAGTGCGCGGCATGGTTGGCGGCATTGTTAAAAGATCGAAAGGAGATGTCTTTGAACCCCAGCGACAGATTCTCCTCGTTGATAGGGAGGGAGACCCAGGGAGTGTCATTGTCCTTTTGCGCTCGTGTCTCGATCACGGAAGCGATGATCCGCTTTCCGTGCTGCACGCCAGGGAGGGGGAAGACACTCTGCGAGATAGTCATGATGATAGATAAAATCTAAGATGAAGAAGGAACTAGCTATTAAACTCAACTGGTGAGAATGAGCTTGGAGACAGTCGGATCATAACGAACCAGACGGTCTTTAAATAATGCCATTGGCGGAGCTGACCCCTTGGTCACTAGTAAGCATACGCGTGCCTGTCTAGGTGGAGAGCAGGAGCTGAATCTTTGATCTGCTAGGAGCGATATCATTAGTGGATTCGTCTACTACATGAGAATAGCGTGACAGGGTGGGGATGGAACAGGGGAAGTCAAGCACTTGATGCGCTACCCGTGCGGCTAATGAATTAGGGCTGACGCCTCCAAGGATCGGCCGGTGGCGTCAGCGAATGAGAGCCCAACAGAACCCATATGGATGAAAAGAGTAACTGGCTACGCGATGTTGTGGTTGGCCTTTGCCGGTTCAACGGCACAATTAGGCGTAAGCGGTGATCAAGGTGAAGGTGAAATGTTCGAGGGTCTCAGGATCAAGTTAACCTCAACTGGATGACAGCCTTGATCAACCAACCCCACTGGGCTGGCTAGCAATGGGCTCCAGTAACAGCCCCATTCTCGCACCGAGGAGTAATCCTGAGAGTTATAAGATGCATTTTAGATCACAACAGCTAACGTGTTGGAGGTTGGACAAGTGCTAACTGTTATAGGCCGGTGTCATGAGGCAGATCATGAATCTCCCCGTTGATCACCCGACCGGGCAGAATAGCCCTAACTGTGCTAACTTTGAACTTGTTATTATCTTTACTAGTGCTTATATCTCAGCCACAACCATACTCAGCTATGCGCTACATCTTGAATTTGAAACAAAGAAAGTAGCGCTTAGGCAAACCTAGCCGTCGCATTCTCACCCATTAAAATAGAAGAACATCACGGTGTAAACCCTTCCAACATTGACGGCAATGCACGATTTGACAATCTTGGACCTAAAGTTGCGCGGAGACCGAGACTGAGACCACGCAGAAGATATATCACATGGGTGCTTACTATTGAGATCAACCTCCTGGCTGCAGTGGGAGTCAATATACCTATTACACAAGAGGGCGAATAAGGGCATCACCCGTCGCTACCCTACCGTCGTACGATGGCACCTCTCCTGGAAGGGATGAACTAGAAGACCATACAGACCGACTAAATCCTCAAACCAAACATCCTAAGAACATAAGTGATACTGACCATTTGGATCAGCGCACTACTTGCACCAAAAGCATTATTACAGGCATGAATCCGAAATCCAAAGAGTCCGCTCAAATGACCCCCACACACCTGCAAGGCACAACACCCCTCCGCCTAGTTCGCGTTCATCCACCAGTCTCGCGTGTCAACATGAGGCGCGCAGGAAGCTCCTTCAGCTCCTCCCGTTCTAAAGCATAAGATTCTTTGGGGTCTGTTTCAAGGGTCCCGGCTTCGGAATGCGAGCCCACTGGGTCGTCGTCCGGTCGTCGGCACCCCGAAGGGTGAGCGGAGTGTGCCGGATCTACGCCAAGAGCCCAGCCCCACTGCGAACACTATCTCCATATTTACACAGTATCCGTGAATATGGAATGCAGGGACATCTCTCACAAGCAATCTCATGAGCAGTTGGATAAGAAATAACGAACAATTTTAACAAGACCCATACAAAACAAATACAACGCCAATTTGGATCATAAACTAAGACAGCAACAAAGGTGTCCAAGGAGAACAGCGACGACTTGAGATATTATGTTGCTTCTCGATAAGCCAAGAATGGTGGCAACAATTCTGCGAATGTGCGGTCATTATGACCCGTCTTGGTCTCCATGTCTTCTAGATCCCGCCGAATATGATACATTCCACGCCTCATCCCACTGAGCTTCTTCCACCGTCAACTAATGTAACGTCCTCGGGCGAGAGTAAAGCAGCCACTCAGCGACTTTGCTCTGGTAGATAGATCTCTGCCACAAGGGCGAGTTTTGAGTTCCGGGGCTAAATAATTAAGTTGTAGGCGGGAGGCGCGATGCGCGAATATACGCAGGTGCTAGATTCGAGCAAGAGTATCGAACGTCACACTTAGGGTTCCCTGCTCCAAAGTAGAGGTGTGTAGCCCCACTCTCTGCGTCTTGCTGGCTATAACAACCACTCGACCCTCGACTTGCTCCCCGTCTTCCAATTATTTTTTCCTCCCTGAAGTAAGCTTATAGGCACGACTGCCTCTGCTCACACATTCAAGATACTCCAGGCTCTGGAAGAACTGATAGAACAAATCGTGTAGCCTTTCAACTCTCTTCGCCTCTTAACACACTCATCCCAGGACACAGTCCAATTGATACCGCCCAGGACTCAGCCTAAGACACTTGCCACTATGAGCGGCCGACCTTATATCTTCACCCGCGATGAGGTGTGTGGAATCGATGCATGCCACATATTCCGTGATAGTCAAAAGCATAATCACTAATCATTCCCCATCCAGCCCCTCTCCGAACAGGAACATCTGATCCTCGCCAACTACGCCCCCGAATCGCCGCGTTATGGCCATGCTGAGAATAATGTGCACAAGCTTCGCAAGGTCAACCCTCCTATCGTATCTTCAGATTAGGGCAATTAATCGCTGACAGCGACACCAGCAACGGAAGTATTATGATACCCCCGAGTGGGTCTTGAACTCCAGCCACCAAAAGCCAGACGAAGGCGTCCACCAGACCGGGAGTAATGTGGGCGATGGTGCCAATCAAGAGCTAGCGTCTAATGATGATGCGAGGCACGAGATGACCGATTTTACCCCGGTGAGGATGGATTGGACTTTTAAGGGGGTGGATTGGCAGATTTGAGGAGAAGAATATATCCGGTCCGGTTCGAAAGAGTTGCTTAGGAGGATGTAGGTCTAGGTACAGTACACTGGCCCCGGAAGTGACGATCGAGTATGCGTTGAATATGTTGAATCAGCGAGTCGAGGATTGCCTTGCCGGAAATGTCGTTCAAAAGTCACACGTCATCTCAGAGATAGATCGAAACATGATTAGACTATTCGCTTATTAACCCAAAGAACATGTGCTGTTTTTACCATAATCCGGTTAGCTAAATGGTCTTTTCAGCTTTTTCTTTTTTTTTCGCTCCTTCCTCTCTAAATTTGCTTTCTCAAATGTGACAATATATATTTAAAGCGCTGCCGTAGAAATATAAACAGCCTCTATCACATCCCATAAGCCCCCGCCCTGAGCCCCATTACAATCAGTGATAAACTAACTGGTGGTCAATGAGTTCGAACGGAGAACGGCTTGATTGCGTAGACCGGAGCCTAGGCGGCCATTTGACTAGGCATCGCGCCCGTCTGTTGATCTACCCTAACAGGGCTTGGTAAGGGGATCTTCTGCGGTGGTTCCTTGTTGACTCGCTGCTGCAAAGAGCGGAACCACAAAAGTACATGCCTTCCCGATCACCTTCCGTCTAGACCACGGTGATTATCGCATCTCAGTCATCCCGATCTATTAGCAAGCCATTCTTATGCGTCGACTATGGTAATAGTGCTAGCATATGACGACTCTGCGTCACGGAATCTCACACCTGCAAGTGTCCAATCTCTAGGTGTCTGACAGAATTCCGGACTCGGGCTTGTACATGGAATAAGATAGATCCGCAGCTGCTTCCCGAAAGTCCAACTGGTGCCAAGGCCTTGGGATCTGCAGAACTGGCGTCAAATAGGCGATGAATGATTGGGCTATGCGACGCTTTCCTAGCCCTGGCATGGGAGGCCGGAATGGCAGGTCCCGATGACTCAGCGGAAGTTGAGGCTTGGCGCAGCCTGCCCTGCTTCAGCTGCGGAGACATGAGCCACAGACGCACAGTCTCTTGTGAGACGACTCAGAGTTCCGATGCTAGTTGAATGAAGAAGTGCGCCTTTTGTACTAGTGTGGGTGCTGTTGTTTGAGTGGGAGGGTGTGCTTGACTCCATTGGATTGTTTGTGTCTGTCTGGATTGGTAGCGGATTTCCAAAAGCAGTTATGAACTTTAATATTATATTATAGGCAGCAGTTATTAAGTATCTAAAAAAAATAAGCTAAATTATGATAATTTTTTTAAATAGAATATTAGTTAAAAGTATACTTTTCAGATCTTGGCTAATATTATTTTTAAGTATAAAAAACAAACTATTAGGATATATATAGGCTTTTTATACTAAATATTTAAACTTAGTAAAAAATACAAAAAAATTATAGTTTTTTTATTTTAAATAATATAGTTTATTTCAGGCGGTGGAGGTACAATCTGGATTATTAAAAAAAGATTTTAATAATATAAAAATATTAGTAAAGTTATTTAGTATATAGATTTAATTTTTAATCTAAGATTAGATTTAGATATACAAAATTTTATTTAAATAGCTAATAATATATAACTTCTAAATGATAGCAGTAGTGTATTAGTTAATATTAATTATTATTTTTTTAATTTAAAAAAAGTATTTGAGATTAGAATAGTTACCTTTAAACTTCTTAAAATTAAATAATATTTTAAAAAAATAAACGTATAAGATTTAAAATTAATTAATAAAATTACTTCTACTAAAGCAGCTGTAGTATTTTTAATAATAAACATAAAAATTAAAATATATATAAAAGTACTAATTAAAAAATATAAATATAAATAGCTTTAATATGTTTATTGTAAACTTAATTTTTTGAAAGTAATTTTTCTAGCAGTATTAGTTTTCATAAACTAATAATTTAAAAATAAAACTTATTCTGTTTATTAGATAGAAACAATATTTTTAACTATAATAGTATACTATACTTTATTAACTATAGTCTTAGTCTTTAAAGTAAATTAGTATAGTTTATTATAATAATTATATTAATTTTTAAAACATTTTTAATGTACTAAATTAATTCTTCCAAAGTGCTAAATATTATTAGAAATCATAAAATTACTAGTATTTTATTAGTACTACTATTTTAATAACAAAGTTATATAGTATTAAAAAGTAGACTAGTATTTAATTCTTAATCTAGTAAAGTAATAAAAATAATAGT